CCTAGCAAATAAACTGTTTTCACTGAAATTTCAGGTTTGGAATCTGCTTTGGCTTCCCCAGTCTAAGACAGAAATATATTCATTTTCCCATCACTGGAATTCCAGGTTGTTTCTGCAGTTTTTCACTGTTACAAACAAGGCTGCAATATATGTCTACAAACCTCTGGATATACATGTAGGAAGACTTTAGTATATTTCCTACTAGTGAAACTGCTCAGCTGGAAGGTATGTGCATCTTCATCTTTAATAAATACTACTGACATTTGAAAAGCCCCACAATGTCAAGGACTGGCCAGAGTCCCACAAGCATGGGTGTAATGGCAGCTCACTGTAGCAGGTGCGGGACTCAGTTGGGGTCTTGGATAATTTAGTTATAGCAAGAATGTTTCATAAATGGTAATCTGATATATTCCAAGACCAGTGCGGAATAAAACACATTGCTTAGAAATAATTATTCATAGATCCAAAGTCAACAAAAGTCTTTTTCTTCTCATGTAAAAATATATATATATTTTTTCCCGAGGGAGGAAGAACAACTTAAACCAGAAAACACCTTCATATTAATCTCATTCTTTCTCATATACTTCAAATTTGAACTTAATGTCTTTCTCCTGCTGGATGTCAGAGAAAACACCTGGGTATTCTGGCAGAAGTTTATATTTTTCCAAATCACTTTCTTGAAAACGTGTCACTTTCAAAGTCCTACATGATCCTTGTCACAAATAGTTTAAGATGGCCTGGGTGATTCATGGATTCCTTATAAACAGAACTGCCACTAACTATCCAAACTCATCTCTACTTCATTTGCTAATTCTGGTTGTTCAGTAAGTTTTTTAGATATCATCCAGACTTCTGGCAAGAGAACGAGCTCCTTGTGAAGGCCTTGAGTTCTGCTGAGAATTAAATTAATTCTATCCTTTAAAGATCGATTCTTCTCAGGAATGGAGAACCAGATCTTCCTACACGTGACACCAGATTCTGTTTGCCTTCTCCTGAAGAGTTTGTGTCATTCTCTGGAAATACCCCAAATTCATTCCTGAGCGGGGCGGCCAGGCAGTCCCTGCTTCTGCCAATGCCCATGTTCTGGGACACAGCGACGATGCAGTTTAGTAAACTAAACCATGACAGCAGCGGTGAGCACCTCCGGAGTCCGCCGCTACACAAGAACGCGGCCAAGATTGGCTGAAGAGCGGATTTGAACCTGAGGATGAGCAATGACATCCCTCTCTGCACCTCAAAGTTTTGTCCTGAGTATCTACCTTCTGGAGCAGGAGCAGTGCAGCAGCGCCCCCCTGGTGGTCCATGCGCTTCCTTGCAGATCACTCACAGCCCTGAGACCTCCTCTTCCATGCACCTGGGATTTCTTCACTGACACCAGCCTGAGTCAAGTTTGTAAAGCGGCTGGCGCGGTGGCTCACGCCTGTAATCCCCCACCTTTGGGAGGCCGAGATGGGCGGATCACGAGGTCAGGAGATCGAGACCATCCCAGCCAACACGGTGAAACCCCGTCTCTACTAAAAATACAAAAACTAGCCGGGCGAGGTGGCGGGCGCCTGTAGTCCCAGCCACACGGGAGGCTGAGGCAGGAGAATGGCATGAACTCCGGGAGGCGTGAGCTTGCAGTGAGGGAGATTGCGCCATCACACTTCCAGCCTGGGAGACAGAGCAAGACTCCGTCAAAAAAAAAAAAAAAAAAAAAAGTTTTGTAAAGAAAGAAGCGCACAGGGCTTTGCTCATGGAGTCCCCACAAAGTGGCCGTGGTGGCTGTTGATGGACACTGCATGGGCACAGCAACCAGTCGCCATCACCAAGGCTGACCTGGCAGCTGCCACTGCTGAGGGCCCAGCCAACTAAAGTTGCTGCTTTATTTGACTGAGAAATAAAACAGGGAATGGTAATTAAGAATAAAATAACATTATGATAGATAAATATGCCACTAAAGATATAGTAGAGGTTTAAATAATTTTGAGACTATGAACAAGATTATGCCAATGGAGAGAACTTATTACAAGTAGAGAAAGCTGGAGTATTGCTCCTCCCCTCCTTGGTTGTCAGCTCCCTGTTCTGTGTGTGGGTGGAACGCCCAGCTGCTCTATAGCAAAGACTGGGAGGAGGAATGGTGTCATCTCCACCTTTGGCGAGATCCATGTCACGTGTTCAGGGAAGGGCCATGAACTCTGGGCTAGAGAGGAGGCTGGTGGCTGTGAAGGTGCCTGTGGGAGTGTGAGAACCGCCCTCTAGCACTGATGGCCAGGAGCCTGCAGATGGCGGGGAAGGCCTCTCCGCTGTGTCCTATCAGGTTTTCCAAGAGTCAAAGAGTAGACCTGCATATTGCCTCTGCTGATGTGAGCTTTTAACGCACACCTAGAAGTGAGGTCACTCCCTGCTGGGGGGTCCTGGGTCTGCTGTTCTGGGTGCTCAGAGGGAAGATGGGGAGGGGGTTATGTGTAAAACAGTAACTTATGTTTCTATAAATTATTTTTCCTTAACCTTGTGTCATGTAATAAAATGTAGGACTCAGGAAGGAAAGAAACGGTCTAAAATTTGTGTCCTTGAATAAAAGTGAACACCCATTAACCAATTAGATAGATACAGCCAGGGAGCAAACCAGAAGCCCCATCATTTGCCCCAGCTCAGCAGTGCAACTCTTTCTCCCCAAATAAAAATACATCCTGACTTTCACATCATCACTTCTTTGTTCTACTTTATATTTTTATCATCCAAAATTATAATTTAGCTACCTCTAGAAATATGCTTTTATTCTCTTTTTTATTCTATAGATTCTTTTCTTGAAATTTATATTGTATGGTAGAGCTTTCCCATAGTGTGCATTTTAAGGATTGCTCCCGCAGCCATTGTTTGTAACTTTTATTATCTGTATTGCCTCTAAATTGCAGTAATTGGCTGTGGAGGTTAGCTTATATTCAGGCTTGGTTTCTTTGTCACTTGTACTTGTTTGATGGTGTTATGTATTGTGTTCTTCCATCAAGAGAAGAACTCCATTAGTTTTTTTGTTTTATTGTGTTAAGCACTGCCATTGCTGTTCAATGGTTAAACTGCTAACTCATGATGGTTTGCACAGAGTTATTATACTCTCAGTCTCTCATTCCTTCCTTATTTATTATCCGACACTTAAGTAAGAGATTCACGCCCTCTACTGCTTCTTTTTTACTACTAGAAATTTGTTAACCAGAGACTTAGCTAAGCATCACTCACCTATGACCCAACAAAAGCACTTTAGTTGTCAAATCAGTAGAATATGTATGTAAAGCAAAATATATGAAAATATTATTCATAGTAGCACGAATTTGTAAAATCTGGATACAACACAATTGTCTATCAAAGTGAAGAGACAAGAAATATGAGCTATTTATAAGTGGAGCATTGGCAGCCATAGGAGTGAATAGGCTACCACTCACACACAGCGAGATGATGACACCTAGGGGCATGATGGTGACTGCATAATGCCATTCAACTGAACTGGCAGAACTCATCTGTGTTAGGAAATCAAGAGTGGCTACTCCAGGGTGGGGAGGGTGTTTGTACCGAGGAGGACTCCAAAGGTGATTCCAGCAGGCTGTGACTGGCGTACTTTGATGTGGGCGCTGTTTATCTCTAGTGTTCACTTTGTGAAACTCCACCGCCCACTTGTGGGTTGTCCTCCTTTCTCCATGCATGCTGTCCTTCCCTCAAATATACATTGCTGGTGTTTTGAAGCAATTCTATCTACACTAAGAAGAATCACTCCTACTGCATAGCCTTGGAAATGCTGAATTGAAAAATTTAGTGCAATTGTTTTTAATTCCAGGAAATAAATACATATGTAAGAGAACTGCCAACAAATGGTAGTAGGCTTGGGAGCTGACACCAGAACAGCTTTGGAAAATGGCTCAAGCCAGAACTAGAATCAAACCCAAACAAGCTCCATGGGAGGTGGTAAATGATGCCCAGTAGTGCATGAATGAATGAGTCATGGGGCAGTGGTTCATGCCTTGGCTGGCCAGTCACGAACTTGGGGAAAAGAGGAGTTGGAAAATTGGGAGGTAGAGGAGAGAGGTATACATAGACCTCTTGCTATAGGCCGAGTGCATGACGATACTGGTTGTGTGTGGATGCCTACCAGAGGGTCTTTAAGGTACGGGGGCTCCCTGTAATCAGGTGAGTGAGATGGCTGATGGAATGATGCTGATTCTGCAGCCACACAGGGCTTGCTCAAGTGGAATCCCTGCAAAGTGGGCCGTGGTGGCTGCGATGGACACTGCATGGCACAGCACCTGAGTTGCCACTCACCAGGGCTGACCCGGCAGCACTGCTGAGTTCAGCCAACCAAAAGCAGCTGTTTTTATTTGGATGGAGAAATAAAACAGGCAATGGCAATTAAGATTAAAATAACATTATGATAGATAAACATGCCACCAAAAAATACAGTAGAGGTTTAAATAATTTTGAGACTATGAACAAGATTATAATAATGGGGAGAACTTATTACAAGCAGTTAGGTTAAACTGTTGTAAAACTTTATTTCCTTCAGTAATATCCAGATTGTTTTACAGATAAGTTCTACCAAAACTTCGAAGAAGGCTATTGAATTTATACATAATATTCAAGAGAATGAGGAAACATAGAGAAAGCCAGTAAACTCATTATTGTTTATATATAAATAACACTGATTCTAAAGTCAGCTAGGGAATACATAAGAGAAAAGCATGATAGGATAATCACTTCAAAGCAATTAGAGGTAAAAATACTGAGAAAAACAGTACTAGACTGTGTCTGGACAATGAGCTATAAATAACCCTAAATATCCTGCCCAGGTTACTCATCCCAGGATACAAGAATATTTACACTTTGAATCTGTAATGCTTTTTATCACTTTAACAAAGAATAAAAGACAGAGATAATCACATTTTGTTAGATGCAGAAATTACTGCAGATGAAATTCAACACTCCATCTCACCCACAGTTCTTCACTTATCTCCGCTTCTAAGAACTTGTGGTCAGTACTCGCTTAAGCAGCACATTTATTAAAATTGGAAAGATACAGAGCAGATCAGCATGGCCCCTGCACAAGGGTGACATGCAAATTCTTAGCATTCCATATTTTTTAAACTCATAAACTAGGTAATAAGGAACATGTACCTGCTGAGATAATAAAAGTCATCTATGACAAACTCACAACCAGTATCATGTTGAATGGGCAAAAGCTGAAAATATTCCCTTTTAACACCAGCACAAGACAAGGATGTCTTTCTCACCAGTCCTACTAACACAGTATTGTGTTCTGGTCAGGGCAATCAGGTAAGAGAAAGAAAGGATATTCAAACAGGAAGACAGGAAGTCAAATTGTCTTTGCAAATCACAAGATCTCATATCTAGAAAACCCCATTGTTTCTCTAGCTGAAAAGCTTTAAGCTGATAAGCAACTTCAGTAAAGTCTCAGGATACAAAATCACGGCAGAAGTCAAGTAAACATTCCTATACAACAATAGATAAGCAGAGAGGTCAAATGTGAATAAACTTCTATTCACAATTGCTACAAACAGAATAAGATGCCTAGGAATATAGATCACAAAGGAATTGAAGAATTTTCAAGAGAACTACAAATTGTTGCTCAAGTAAATCAGAGAGGATACAACAAATGGAAAAACACTCCATGTTCATGGATAGAAAGAATCAATATCGTGAAAATGGTCATATTGCCCAAAATAATTTATAGATTCAATGCTATTCTCATTAAACTACCATTGGTATTTTTCATAGAATTAGAAGAAATGATTTTAAAATTCATATAGTAGAACCAAAAAGAGAGCTTTATGGTCAAGACAATCCTAAGCAAAAAGAACAAAGCTGGAGGCATCATGCTAATTGACTTCAAACTGTACTACAAGGCTACGGTAACCAAAACAGCATGGTACTGGTACAAAAACAGATGCATATGAAAGGACACAAAGACACAAAATAAGCAGATCACTTCTCGCTTACACACACCCTATTGCTAAACCCTTTGTTCCGTCTCCCTAATCTCTGCACGTACTATGAGATTTTTGTAACAAGATAACTAGTAATTTGCTTTTTCTGAGGCCAGGTCACAAGATGTGCTTTTAAATAAGATAACTAGTACCTGTTTTTTTCTGAGGCCAGGCTCAAGATGTGCTTTCTATGTGATAACTATAAACTGGTTGTGCAGCCCGGGACGTGGCACTGCCTGTGTAAAACTGCTCTTCCGCCTCAAGAGTTGAACTGAAATATCAGAAATGGCGGGAACCAATCATAGTTTGCCAAATCGCTTTGTTTGAACTCCAGCCAATCATACATCTATTCTGTACAATGATTCTATGCCCACTTTCCTTAGACTATATAACGCTGTTCAGGACTCAGGGGGGGAGCTCTCCTGCCCGTTTCGTTTCACGAGCGAGTGAGAGTTCCAGGTTCGAACCTGTAATAAAGATCCTTGCTGCTTAGGTTTGATTCTGGACTCTGGTGGTCTTCTTTGGGGAATAAACGGTCTGGGCATTACAAATGGGGGCTCGTCCGGGATTTCCCCCAAGCCCACCAGACCTCCAAGTCAATGGATCTTAATCTGTAGGTAAGCCGGCTTTGTCACTGTCTCTGTCTTTGTCTCTGTCTGTCTCCCTGAAATTTCGTGAAATCCGTAATCTGTAATCTGTATTGGTCTGTTCTGTAAGTGGCACGGTCTTGGCGGACGCGCTAAAAGACAGCCACTCGGGACTGGTGGGAGACGTTCCCCAGTGCCCATCTGGGGGCCTCCATCCTTGGTTGCCCCATCTGACTCAGGTCGGAAGTCCCACACGCGCTCGCGACGGCTCATCATTTATCACTGTCTGTCCGTTATTGTTAAATGTTAAGTGTAAGTCCAAAACGAAACATAATCTTCCCCTTCCAGGACCAGATACGAAGAAAATAATGGACTGATGAATTATCTTTAAGTAGATGAGATAGGATGCGATTTGGACACCGGCAGAGGAACTGGCTCTGGCCGACTAGGTTAACCTACAACAACTGTCTATGGGGTGGAAGGCTCATCAAGTGGCACAGCTGCAAATGCAGGAGCTGACATGGTGGTGGAATCTGTGAAACTGTCTTCTTAATGTGTTCACTTCTCTCTGGTGAGGTAGGAAGCAAGGTCTATCAGCGGAAGTAAGAATGGGAAGAGGGGTTGGATGTGAGCACAGAGGGAAGGTATGTAAGAGTCACCCAGGCCCGGAGGAGGCTGAGGGTGAGCTATGCAGGGAGAGGGTGATTGCTGAACACAGGGCTCCCCCAAGAGGTTTAGGCTGAAAGTAGAGAGAACAGTCAGTGTGCTGTGTTGCTCTCCAGCCTCTCTGCATCTCATGGGGGCAGGTGGACTGTAGGCAGAGGTGGAATTCACCAGCTGTGTAGTTTTGCCGAGCAAGTGTGACAACGCAAGGGAGAGACAAGAGGGGATGGAAATTATCTACCATAGAATTCAAAATGGGTGAGTAGGGAGGAGAGGACACCTGCTGCCACGGACACTGGGTAGATGGCAGGACTGGGCACATTGAGAATCCCGGGTGGGGGTGCTAGGGGGATCAAAGGATTGCTGAAATTGATATACTGCCATAGGTGACACCAAGCCTGAAAAACAGGTACCTATAGAATGAATTAATTGGTTGATATCAATTACAACATGATAAAATGATAGTATCTGTGTCCTCAGAGCCTGTGGCCACCTCTGCAAGGGGATGAGTGGGAAGACGGTCAGAGAGTGGGAAGTGTGAGCTGAGAGTATTTAAGGGCTGGGTCGGGCCATGATGTGGGCCTAGATGACAAGGGCACAGGGCCTAGGCACAGCAGAGGAGAAGGTCATGGAGGAGAGGAGTTTTAGGATCTCAGAAGCCAGGGAGCTGTGGGGCATCCTCTCTGCTATATGGGTGTCTATTGCTGTCATAAAATTACCACAAGCTGAGTGGCTTAAGCAGCGCCTTTGTCACGGTCACAGATGTGTGGGGTTGCAGGTCCAGTCTCATAAGGCTAAGATCAAGGTATGGGCAGGTCTGTGTTCCTTTCTGGAGACTCTGGGGAAAAATCCACTCCCAAGTTTATTCAGGCTGTTATCTGAATTCAGTTCCTTGCAGATAGGACTGAGGTCACTGTTTCTTTTCTGACTGTCATTTGAGAGCAACACTTAGCCCTGAGCTGGAGTTCTGCGCCTCGCGCGTGCCCCTGTGGCACATCCAATGCTCTCGCTGAACCTCTGACTTCCTCTCCTGTGTCTCCTTCTTCCTCTCTGCAACGTTCTGACTCCAGCCAGAGCAGACTCTGTGCTTTTAATGGCTCATGTGATTTGATTGGGCCTATGCAAATGTCCAGAGAATTCCCTATTTTAAGGTCCTTAATCTTCATTACATGAGTAATGTCCCTTTTGCCATGTAATGCAAGCTGTTCACAGGTTCTAAGGATTGAGGCTGGACTTTTGGGACCATTATTCAGCCTACCACATCTGCTATATATGAAGTCATCAATATCAAGGAGACAGCACTGCTGGAAAGAGGAGCGTAGAGAACCAGAGCTGCAGCAAGTCAGGATTGAGAGGAATGGCCTGGGGCCCAGGAAATGGCTAATGAAGGGAGTGGGGCCCTAATCTGATGACAGCTTAGGGAGGTTTGGGAGGAGGGAGGTAGCAAGGTCTCAAAATCACAATGAGAAATCAGTCCAAAGGTTCAAGTCCCTGGGGGCCAGTCCCCAAAGCGGGAGACTTCTGAAGGGTCTGTGTCCTCCGGGAAACTCAGGTTCCTGCTGAAGCTGCGAGATCAGGAAATATCCTGAGACAGGATGTGGAGGATTTCTGATCAAGGGCTGAGAATCTAAAGTGTGGTGGAAAGATTTCTGGAGTTGGGGGGAGGATGAGCGGACAGAAGAGGGGTGTGCAGAGCCTTGAGCATGCGAGTGCAGGGTGTTTGGGGGACCCAGAGGACTGACACAAACGGGAAAGGGCATGAGGAGCTCAGTCCTGGTGGACTCGAGGCAGACGATGGTGCTGAGGCTGTGGGAGACGGAGACGAGGGAGGAGGGAGCAGGTGGCTTTCACCCGGGCTCTGTCCATGGAGGTGAGGACTGCAGAGTGGTTGGGTCTTAGTGCTGTCTGACCTTCCTGACCTGATGACAGAATGGAGTGCCTGAGGCAGAGGATTCAGAAGATTGACCCTTGAACGTGAGGAAGGAAGTGAGCTCATTCTGTGATCTCAGGTCTACCCTGACACCTTCTGCAGGTGGTGTCACTTCTGGGTCCCACGTGTGACCCCAGCATAGGGACCCTCTTCTTCCCTGCTGAGGAGAGGGAGGCCCAGGGGAGCTGCGCTCAGATTTGACAATGCCAATATGCGGTTTACATCTAGAATCTATGTGGACATGGGAGGTGTTGTTTCCAACAAAAGAAAAACTGAGTAAATGGGAGTTTTAAGAAACCTGGAGCAATGGAGAGTAGAAGAAAAATGTTTCTACTTTTCAGTTTCCCCAAATGTTGCGTCAAGGGGCTGGAGAGAGAAGTTGCAGGGAAAACAGAAACCTCAGAGAGGGTTGGAGCTCCTGAGCTCTGCTCACCTCCACAAGAATGATGTTCGGGAAATTATTAAGACAATTTGACATTATTTCTGAAATTTGGCTAATATTAGGGGAATTGTAGCTACTTTCAGTGTAGTAATATTATTGTTGGAAAAATGTTATTTTTTAAGAGTTGAGTAATTGAAGTATTTAGGAATGAGGGTCATGATGTTGGCAAGTGATTGTTTAATGTTTCAGCACAAATTATAGAAACATAATTTATTACTGACACAAAGGAAATAATTAGATCTATTGTAAGCATTGTAGTCTTTCAAACTTTTGGACTCTTTGCAATTTTGTGTAATTATTTGGAGGAAAAGTAAAGGTAAAATACATGATCACATGAGAAATGTCACCACATCATATGGATTGGAAATTAAGCTTCAAGACCAGATGAGGTGGCTCATGCCCGTAATCCCACAGCTTTGAGAGGCTTGAGTGTGGGAGGATCACTTTAGGCCAGGAGTCAAGAGCAGCCAGGAAACACAGAAGACCTCACTACAAAAATGAGCTAAACAATTTT